TTGCAATTTCAGATTGGATACCATGGTTCCTCACATCACGATTCCAACTTCAATCCATTTGGTGAGTCCGAGTAGGGAGGTCTTCAGTGATGCACGCTGCCAACACCGCATCCGAAGAACGGGTTTCTCTTTGGTAGGACTATACAAATTGTAGTGAGGCCGTGACCCAGTGGTGAATTCATCTACTGTAAAGCCCTACATCCGGAATGGCAGACCAAACTCGTTTGTATGTCTATAACAGAATAATCCCAATATCATAAAGCAAGTAAGGAAAAGTAGTACTATCATAAAGCAGCATCAAACCATGAACAATGACTTAGAATGGGTAAAAAAGTAGGTGCTTGACATGTCCCGTAGGGTGTTTAGAGTGAGAATAGGTAGATCAAGGGATAATGGAATCGTCGGTTCGGACGACTACAGATTTAATTGCACTGTCGTATAAAGGGTTTGAAATTGTAATATACGCACACAAAGCAATAAGGGGAGTGGTTATTGATCAGGTAATAGGCAAGAAAAAGTAAAAAGTAGCAAGTAATGTGCAAATATCTCGGATCGACGGGCTACAGAAATCCAGTTTCTATAGTAGTAGCATTTATCAAATTTCGTGCAAGGCGTTTGGAATGACTCATTCTCGAGTAGGATTATGTCACTATCCCCTGTCTGTTGTGCATTAGTGCCAGCATCTGGTGGTCATGGGCTATAGCACGTAGTGTAAATGTGACAGAGTGTCGTCAAGGTGTCATTTGAAAAGGGATAGGGTGGGTGCATTAATTGCATGTTCCGGGAGGGCGTTTCAAGTCTGTGACACTCGAAGGGAGAAATAGTTTCGCTGACATTCCAGGCGGTTGTACTGCGTGACAGCTTAAACCGATGCCCTCTTAGGGGGACCTTTTAACTGAGTATTATAAGGGAATGGCATGGATGGTTGAGGTTTCTCAGAATCTGGTACACCATTATGAGATCGCTCCTTAGACGCCGATGACGTCCACTGTATATTTTGAGGGTCTTCAACCTGAGTGGGTAGGGGAGGCTGGTCAAACCTCTGACGCTCTTCGTTGCCCTACGTTGTGCAATATCGAGCGCGGTGAGATGGTGCTTGAGCCAGGGTTGCCACGCTTGAATAGCGTATTCCGCGTGCGGCCTCAAGTATGCACTAAGCATTTTTGGAAAGATCGAAGGGTCCAACTTCCCGAAAGCTCTGCGAAGAAGACCAAGGTACTGGATCGCTTTCTTAGCTGCCTTTTCAGTCTGCCTCGAACAACCGAGGTCATCTTGAACTATCACGTCGAGATCGCACACGTGAGAAGCCCGCTGTAGAATTCGTGGTCCTAGACGGTAATTGTGCATACTGTTGTGCCGTATGCTGAGAACTCTGCACTTGGTGACGTTAAAATGCAGCCTGTTCTCGATGGATCATGTGTACGCTTTGTCCAGATCATCCTCTAACACTGTGTGATCCTCCACTTTATCTATAGTACGCCATACCTTTAGGTCATCAGCAAATAGCAAACAGTTAGAAGATAGCACACTCGCGAGATCATTTATGAAAACCAGGAAACGACGGGGTCCAATTACCGGGCCTTGAGGTACGCCGCACTGAATTTCGATGGATTCCGACAGGTTGCTTCGGTCCCTCACATTCAGGTGACGTTGAACGAGAAAGCCTCCTATCCAGCCCAGAAAAGGCTCGCCAATTTCATATTTCTGGAGTTTGTTGAGTAGAATGCGATGGTTTATATGGTCGAATGCTTTTGAGAAATCCAAGTAAGCCGCGTCGACTCCTACACCAGCGTCTATAGATTCCGTCCAGCCGGTACGAGAATCAACAAATTAGTGGTACATGGGCGATGTTGGCGAAATGCGTGCTGCTCCGGAACGAGAATTTTGTTGTTCTCTAGGTACCCCGTCAAAGCCCCAGCTACGATGGACTCCATAACCTTGGAGATCACAAGAAGTAGTGTTGTTGGGCCATATTCTGGTTCATCACAGCTGCGACCTCGTAGATTGGCGTGATGATTCCGTGCTTCCACATCGTTGGGACGTGCATTTCGTCCATACATCGTTGAAAGAAGATTGCTAATGGTCCTGCCACACTCATGGCGGCAACTTTTAACCCCTTCGGGCGAATGCGTCCGCACCCGGGGAGCTGAACTCGCGCAGAGACATCAGCCTCTTCAGTACAGCTGCGGAGGTGAACGATTTGTGATCACGTCTTGATGACGGCGTTATCTGCTTAGGTAGGATGAATGATGATTGCACGCTTTGGAAGATACGGCCAAATTGTTGTCCAAGAATGTTGGCCGCCTCTTGTGCGGTTTGGGCTAACCGGCATGCTGTGTGCAGAGCAGGAATACCGCGCTTAACACGGCGCAAATTGTTTACGTGTCTGTATAGCAGTTTGGGATTGGAGCAACCTTTTTCTACTAGACCTTGGTGGTTCTTCAGTTTATCCTCTCGGAGGAGTTTGACACAGCGGTTTCTTTGTATTGTGTAGACAAGCCAGGCATGGTCCTTTGGGGAGGCTATGTACGTGTGCTATGCCAAGTCCCTTAATGCCATGCATTTACGTGTCCTGCTCCTTACGAGAGACTTCATCCTTTTAGGCCGGTAGAGGTTGGTTTCAGATGTCCTTGCCACGAGCTTGGTAAATATGTTGACGAATTTTCCGCAGGCCACCTCAGGTGTCAATTCGACTAAGAACGACCAGCTTGTTGCATTAATGAGTTCGGGCCGGTCGTCGTAGTTGGTTACGGTATGCTATTCCTCGGCATGCTCTTTAGGATAATCCGCGTAACTCATGTAAGGAAACACTAGCATTGCATGATCACTGCAGCCCAAAGGAGTATCGGTTATCACTCTCTCGACCATCAGTTTTTTATTAGTACATATTCGGTCCAATATGGATGGCCTGATAGTTCCTCTGAATCTGGTGGGCGTAGTGACGTGGCCATAAAGCGGGAAGTCTGAAACCAGATCTTGCAAGTCTGCTTTGAATTGCTCTGGTGTGGACTGGGATTCTAGAGCATGTAACTTGAAGTCGCCGGTGACTAGAATTTGACTGCACTTCCTGTTTATCACTTGCCTCATTATTTGCGTTAATAGCTGGTGAGACTGTCACCTGACGAGAATATTCAGGAAGTTTAAACTGTTTCGGGATACTGGTATCTCAGTTTGAGGATTCAATTTTTCATTTGTTTGTTTCACCACATTGATGGTGAAATGTTTGCAACAAATCCGCAAAGCTCGGAGAACAAATGAACAATTGACTTATCAGGATGACGGCGTAGATCAGTTCAGTAGTCTCACTTCTCAAATGAAGTCGCGCTTTATATCATATTTAACTTATTGCTTTTCCTTTCTGATTTATAGCTGGAGAACGGAATTTTAAAAAACTGTTTTGAAATTAGGTAACGGTCCGTCATTTTATAACTACCATTAAGCATCAAAATAACCAAGGAATTTGGTTTTACTTTTACCATTTGATACAAAGTTTTCGAGTACATTGTACTTTATAAGCAGAAAACACTTACGCTGTATATGCATCTGTGGTGTAGACCGTTTGAACGCAATTCAAACCCTGCTACACAGCTTCTTACAACACCCAAATTGCCCTGGGTAGCTGACAATGATCTCAGATGTTTGTGGCCTCAAATAGGTTAATCTTGTCTATTCAGGTCGGCACTGTTTTACATGAATTCTTAACTCGCCTAGTAGTGGAGATATACTGCGCTACATAAAACTAGCTTGACCACAGAAGCTGTCACCAACCCCGAAGATTTAGTGGTTTTGGTCATTGTATGCAAATGGAGGCGTCAATGATTCCTGTCCATCACGCGACGGACGCAGCACACACTGTTGATCTATCACGGGAAAACCAAAGTGCACAAGAACTTTTCGTGGTATATGGTGGAACGCTGCTAGCCTCAGCTATGGCGTTCATGTCATTAATTAGGCATACAACAACTTCAACTAGAAATAAACTCATGTGGCTTCTGGTGAAAATGAGCTATAAGGGAAAAAATCATAGGACAAATAACCCGCTGATAAAGTTCAAACTTAAATTCGCTCAACTTGCTATTTGGGAACGACAGTAATCTGGGCAATCCGAACAGTGAACAATGATGTATGATGGGCGAAAAGGGCATTGCTTGACTAGTCCCGTTGAACGACAGGAGTGGGAATTATCAAATGATTGTTTAAAGTGATATGAAAAAGGTAAAATTCGGGTTTATGGTGATTCATTGAGTTAATCAAAGGAGTACCTGCTGGTCCGCTCCCAGCTAAGTAACGGAGAGGGCCTTTGAACACACTACGTTAATACGTCTTTCGATGGAAACAGCCTATGTCGCGTGATGTAAATGGGATAGAGCGTGGTCCAATCGTGTTACAAAAGGTGTTAATGTGGGGACGACAACAACGTGAAAAGTAAAAGCATTCTAGTTTCTGGCTAGCCGAAGATAGAAGATGTAGGCAATCAACTCAACTGTGGTCTGTGATCATTTTGAGCTGGTAGCCCTACAGGTTGGTATTGTGGCTGACTTGCCACAGATCCAGCCAGGCGTGATTAGGTTTAGTCAGTAGTTGGTACAAAATCATACGGTCTCCCCTCAGGGTAGCTGTGCTTTTATCAGGGGTGTCTAGTTACTGTCACAGAAATCTGAGCTGCGAAGTAGCCAGACCTGTGTGCAACTCAGTCACTTGATCTGAGTAGACGGGACGATTCGCACTGTCTGTAAACTATAAACTTATTTTATGACTGGCTTTTAGTTCCACGGCTGATTGGAAGTGCATGCAACTGGAATTGGTGCCACAAAGACCAAATTTTCAAGCATTGCTGCTGCAATTAGACGACGGTCTTTAGACTGATCGTACTTGTAATGTACTCGAGAAACCGAAGTACGTTTTGCAGTTGCGGTACAATTTTGGTGGTATCGCGGAAACATGTCTAAGTATTTGCTACTACAAAATAAAGCAAAGCTGACTTTAGCGGGTGCGCTCACCTTCATATCTTCAACCGTCTGCACTATCCACGTGTAAGGCTCCTGTAAGCTATCTGTTGTATAGGGAATAAAGGAACTGATGCGTTCACCAAAATAAACATAAAAGTCCGTTCATAAATGAGTTTATTGCCAAATGATCGGGCATGACGAGATATTTGCCTAGACAAAAAATGCGTAGGATGAACGTTTCATCTTAGATGTGACGAATTTTTGCTTATAACATCTTTAAGTGTTCAGAATAAATTAAACGCTGGTTGTTAGCAAGTTTGGCCAGAGTCACGGATTTTGACAATGAAATGACGGCAACAGGTGTTTTTACCACTTTGAAGTCTATAAAGCGGTTTAACATCATTTGATCATGATGTCACGTTTTCTCACACACGTCTCCAAGAAACTGGTCAAGTCTATATGTTTGTTGAGTATAAGAAACACAAATACGCACTTGTTCATTTTCATGACTGATAATCACGGCTGACGCAGCCGAAGCAGTCACCGAACATGTCGATGCTTCAGACAGCGTTCAGTTCTCTTGCAATAATTTTTACCCTTGGAACCTACCGGGTTAGTACGAATCTGGGATCACGGATATTACGCTTTGGATGCTCCTGAGTATGACTGACACCAGCAGCCAGATATATGTACGAAGTATGACCACAAAATGAGTAAACTGCTAACACAACTTCAACTGTTGGTAAGAAAGCGCTAGTGCTGCCAGCTGTTCTGAATTCTTATCAAACTACGCTGACATACGAGATAAGTAAGCGCTCACTGGAGACAGTTGAAGGTCACTGGTCGCATGTTCACCAGACCTTATTAGCAGCAGGGAAATCCTCATGCGATAAATCTAATCATCAACATGGACATTGAGTCTCTTCGCGATCTCTGGAACTTATTAATACTCGCCAGCATATTCAGGCTGGAAGCGAACACAATGAAACTCGCAAAGAGCTCCGGACAAAACTCCGTGCTAACCTGAAGAGAGACCGCGAATCTTGGTGGTCTGATCGTGCGTCAGAAATGGAAGTGGCCGCTGTTCTTGTCAACCATCCGTTTGATACAGGAAACGGGCAGCAGGAGACCTGGTGCTGGTGAAACAAATTGTGACGAGAGTGGACAGCCTGTCCACAATTTGTCAAAACGTTTGGAGCGTTGGGCTAAGCATTTTGAAAAGTAACTTAATCAAGCAGAATTGTTCGATTCCTCGCCGGCCAGTGATCGCCCTGTTCCGTGGGCTGTCCCTTTTGATCTACCCTCTCGCTCAGAAGTCGAACGTGAGATCGGACTGTTGAAATTGAACAAAGCCGCGGGACCAGATAATCTTACTCCAGCTCTCTTCAATTTCGGGGACTCTGCTCTTGTTGATGATTTACATGAATTACTAGTGTAACTGTGAGGGCAGGAAACTGTCCCAACCGACTGGAGCCGCTAAGTCATCTTCCCAATTTTAAAACGAGGCTCGCGTTCGGAATGCGACAACCATAGCGGAATCAGCTTGATCTCCATCGCCTCCAACTTACCCGCCTCCATAATCCTTCACAGACTGACTGGCGCTCGTTAAAGTCAGATTTGTGAGGAGCAAGTTGTGCTTCGATCGGGTCGTGGCTGCATCGACCACATCTTCACCTTGCGTCAGTTGTTGGAGCACCGCCACACAAATTGTCGGCCCACCGTAGTCGTATTCCTCGACATCAAAGGTGCCGTCGATTCGGTTGACCGATATGTCCTTTGGAATTGTCTAGTAAGGAAAGGTGTGCCCGAGAATTGTGTAAATATTATCCGAGCATTATACGCGCGGAGCAAGGGCAGAGTGAGGGCTTACGGCAAGCTGTCGCCGCCCTTCAATATCTCCAACGGTGTAAGACATGGATGCCCGCTGTCGTCTTTCCTCTTCAACTTCGCTATTGACGAAGGCATGGAGATTTCATTTACAGCACATGACTTAGAATATGTGGAGCTACGCCCAGGAGAACGACTTCTTGACTTAGAGTATGCAGACGACATGGCCCTCATCTGTGACAGCTCCCAGACGTGTCAAGCTGCACTGGACAGATTAGCACTGGCTGTCAGTCGCTTCGGGCTTTGCTTTGCACCATCGAACTGCACAGCTTTCCTCCAAGATTGGTAGGGATCTTCTCCTTTGCTGACCCTTAGTTGGGATCATCTAAAAGTCGTTCAGAAATTTAGCTACCTGGGAAGTTGTATCAGCGCCCTTGGGATTGAGGATGAGTTCACGAACCGTATATCAAAAGCTCAAAGTACTTTTGCTAGTCTTCGCCCCCTATCGCGGCGGCGCGACATCACTCTTGCCCTGAAGGGTAGAGTGTACAATGCAGCAGTGCGTTCGACCTTACCGTAGGGTTGCCAAATTTGGCCTCTAAGATTGGCGGACATGAAGAGGCTAGTTACGTTCGTACGTCGGTGCCTTCGCAGTTTTGCTTACATCTGGTGGGAACACCGCGTGAGCAACGAGCGTGTTCGACGCCTTGTTTATGGCACAGGAAAAGGAACTGAACCGCTGAGCACCGTGATTTCACGCACCAGGCTTCGATGGGTCGGCCACGTGTTGCACATACCAGCCCACCGACTTCCGCGACGTGAGTTGTTTGCTCACCGGTGGCGTGGATGGAAGAAGAGGAGGGGTGGCCAAGCGATAAGTTGGTCGAGAGGAATGAAGGCCCTCAGTTCGAAGCTGGCCTCGGTAGGAGCGTCTTGGCTCCGTGGTTGGGGTCCGAAAGACCATGACCAGTTTTGGCTGGATACACTTGCTGACATAGCTGGGATCCGACTTTAATGGCGTTCGTGGTTGGTATTTTTTCCCACCTTATATCTCTTAGCCTCTTCTTCCAATCACAATCTCATCTCTACGCATAATATAATTTTGCATAACCATTTTTTAGCTGCATAGTAGCCGGCTGCTTGCATACCGGAAAAGTGCCCATCCGCTACAGGTAGCTCAGCTGACTTGCTTCTGTCGCATTTTTTACTTTTTTATGTATTGCGGCACGGTAGCTGAGGTGTTTCCCACCTATAGCTAACGTGTATAGTGATGTTGATAACCCGCTTACGCACAGTTAGTATCACATCCCAACGGGAAGCGTAGCATTTTAAGCCGTTGGTCGAGAAGCTACGCTATCATCTGCACGAAAGCAACGTGCAGATCATAAGAGCTGGTGTAGCATCAGGCCACATTCAGTAAGCTGGTCAAGCAGGTCGTTGAGGTTTCTGTGGACCAGTCATCTTAATCAGAGGCGCGTGCGAGCAGGATTGCGTGGTTAAGGTCCACAAGGGGCACAGGAATTAACGATAAAACAGCTATGTGATGCATAGATAAACGTGTGTTGACTGGTTGAATGAGCCTAGATGTGCGTAATTCGATTTTTGACAATTTATGACCCAAATAGCCTAACATAATTGAGTGGCCAGCATCACAAATAATATAGTGTTTGGTGTTTAGCTACTAGGCTCGCGGCAGTTTTGCTACAGATACTGTGCACAAACGTGAGGTAAACTAACTTTAATTAGGATAACCCAGCTGTTAACTCTGTACTGTGCCATTGGTATAACACGGTACAAATAAAGCCATTTACTTGAACTAGAGCTAGGTGGCTAAAAATGTTTCGTTTATCCAATATTTATTCGCCAGCGATATAATTGATATGCCCATGGAATTAATAAAACACAGGGTAGCGAAGAGTACTCTTTTCGATAAATCTCATCAGGCGTTTATAATTATAAAATAGAAAGTTGGAGCTGGATAAGCTGGTGAAGCGCGACAAAGGTTAGCGATTCATAGCGAGGCAGAAGGTCAGCTGTCCTAATCGATAAATTGGTCGATCCACTGAAGCTGCGGCTACCACAGTATACGTAGGCGGACAGAGATACCCACATACAGACACACACGCATGCGCACGAGGCATATGACGTGCTTCTCAACTGATTGGGTGACGCACTCATCACCCGGTGGTATGTGGGTAACTATGTCCGCCTACGTATACCGTACGTTTGAGAAGAGTCTTTCGTTTTTGCTCAGTCGCACAGGGGTAGATTGGAGCTCACTAATTTGCCGACCCACCAATGGCATGGAAATCTACTGTATTTACTCACCCACGCATGTCTGGGGGTGTGAATACGACGTGCGGACGCATTGCGGTGCATGTGTCCTTGAAATATGTTAATTACCCTCGTCGATTTTGACACCGGCCAGTTCAGATTGGGTCGATGCCGACGTTTTTGGCTGGTGGTTTGCAACATCTCGACAGCTGTGCATAATGCACTGGCTACCGTGTTCAAATGTTGATGGCGCTTCGACAGTTGCTTAAGGTTATCCCAGCAAATGATAAAAGGGTTAGTGACAACGCTGTTGTAGACTGAACGTTACCTTCATATAAACTACCTTAGCAAAATAAGAATTCGTAACAATTAGACGGTGAAAATATGAGATGCTACTTCTGCATAAATGAGTCCGGAACAATGTCTACCAGCTACTGGAGGCTCATCGGATCTATTTGCAAGTGCGCGGCCGCCTAAGGAGTTAATTCCAGCAGAATACAGAAATAAAAAGAAAGCTGAGTGCAGTGGCTTTTGAACAGATTTTATCAAATCTCATTTTATCCCATCAGCTTGGACAATTAAATCAAAATCAGTTTCGCAATGAACACGAGAAGGAATTTTACAGTATTGGTATGGTAGAAGAATCCTAGAAGTAGATAAAGAAGCGTTTAGGTCAAATCTAATCACCCATTTTAGAAAGAAAGGTGATGGAAGAATCCAGCGCGTACGATGCATTTATTTGATGAAACCAGGCTGTTTACGGCTGAATATTCAAGCGTTGTTGGTGTATTACGCATTTTATTGACTTGACTTGAGTTCCCCGCCTTGGCAGACTTGAATGTTTAAATATTCCTTATCGCCCAGATACGTATCCGGCCAATCTGGAAAACCTTAATATGCCATCCTACTAGAAGTTTTGATATTTTAAGTATCCATGGAAACTGTGTAAATAAATCACTGACGATTCACGCTCAACCGTTTGTTCCACGGTCATGACACATTC